TTTGTCTATTTTTGCTTTTTCTACTTGTGCTGTTTCTGTCTCTCTGTCTCTGTCTCTCTGTCTATGTCTCTCTCTCTCTCTCTCTCTCTCTCTCTCTCTCTCTCTCTCTTTCTCTCTCTGGATAAGTAGTAATCCATTTGAGTTATATACAAAAATCAGAACCTACACCAGTGTCATGAAGTTCTCATCTTGTGTGTATGTGTATTCAGCACTTCCATAGCTTAGGGTTTTAATTTTTTTTTCTTTTGCTGTGCTAGTTATTGAACCTATGACCTTGCACATACTAGGTAAGTGATCTACCACTAAGCTGTATCTCCAGCCCTACCTTTAACTCTTGATGCCAACCTGAGTTTACTTTTACGTATGGTATTAGATAAGAGTCTAATTCAGTCTTCTACATGCAGCTTACCTAAAGCCACTTCCTAAAAGTTTATCATTTACTTATTGTGCATTTTTGACTTCTTTGCTGAACACCAGTTGGCTGTCGATATACAGGTTTATTTATGGGACTTCTGTTCAGTTCCATTGCTCTATTTTTCCATATATTGTAATGACATTCATGAGCGAACTACTTCAGAAAGTGGCAAGAGAACAAGGTAAGCCTGTCTGAAGCATAAAGGAATATTTTTTCTTGTCTTTTGTTTTCTTTTATTATCTTTTTTTTTTAAAAAAAACAAACATTTATTTGAGAGAGAGTATAGTGATAATTGATGTGACATTAAAGCAGTACACATTTAGAAGACCAGAGAACAGGCGAAGAGAGGGCAAGGAGAAAAGCTAGGAAACATGGCAGAAGCAAAATCATACATTTGTATACACAAGATGGCGAAGGCAATGATACTGAGAAACTTCAGCAGGTTTTTGAAGCTAGCAGTTAATTGGTAGGATTCTCACCCTGACTGACTGACTATATATGCTGACACCTATCAAAAAAGAATATGTGGAGGGATTCCTATCAAACTTATCTTTTAGTGCAATCAATTTTTAATAATTTATGTATCTAAAATATAACTGAGATTCTCATCTACACATGAGGTACGAAATTATCTACCAGTCATCACTCAGAGTGCAATATCTAGTAGGAAGAGTGGCAACTCTTAGCCATTTGCAAACAAGGCTTGCCAATTTCCTGAGCTCTTTTTCATTTCTCTATACCACGATTTTTTGTTAACTAAGAGAATTAATGTTGGACCTCAAATCTCCTAAATTATAATCAAGGAGCTGTTTGAGTATGAATAGATTCTGACTCATGCAGTTGAAAAAAATGCTTCCAAATTGTCTTCTCCTTAAGAACTAAAAGTAGTACTTAATGAACTAACAAAAGAAAATGCCCTTGAATTATTTTAGTTTATACAACTTTTACTTCTTGCTGTACAACTCCAAAATTATAAAGGACACCTTAAATAGAACACAGAAACTGGATAAAATCTTCCAGAAAGAGAAATGATAAAGCTAAAAGTATCTTAAAACATTTTGAAAATAGCTGATCATTTCTTTTGCAGTGTTATCTCTGTACCATGCCTTCTGCCTAAGATCAAAACACAGCCATGGAATGTCTGTGGAAAGCTTTGTTATTTAAACTTGATTCTTAAGTGGTTATATGTGGGAGAACAGTTGGGGGATTAAGGCTTAATTGGCCTCCTGTGTGGGCACAAAAGAATGGCATATTACAGAGCTAGAGAAAAGTCAAGACAGCTGAGATTAAGTTGCTTCACTGGGCATGTACTAAGAGATACTGGAAAGCAGATGAATCTTGTGTCACTTTGATTTCTTATATTCACATTTGCCTGAATAAAAGACAAGCCAGAGGGTTGATGCTCCTCTGCCTACTGCATGTTAAACTCTTTGACTCTTATTCATCTAGTGTGCTCCCAGTTCAAGAAAAATAAAGTAGTAGGACTAGGTCCCCCACAAGGGGTGCCTGGGAGGAAAAAGTTTGGAGGAGAAGGCTGGCTCCTGGGGAAGAGGAACCTGGGACTGGTAGCATAGGGTGGCTGGTCTCGTTTACTATAGTTTTATTTTTATTGTAATTTTAATTTTTTTTAGTATTTTTAGTACAGGGTCTACAAGGGTCTCACTATGTAGATCAGACTCATACTGATCTGCCTTTGTTCAGCCTCCCAAGAGCTGGGATTACAGGCACACGCCACCATGCCCAGTCTCAATTGCCATCTCAGGGATCAAACCCCGGCTGCTGCATCCACCTAAGCCCGCAATTTAATCCATTGAGCTATTTGGCTGGCCCTACTACAGCTTTAGATCACCAGTTTTTCAGAATTGGTAGACTTTGGGGTTGCCTCATCTGAGTTTTTCATTTTGTAGAGAATAAATCCAAATGATATCCTTGTAGTCACTAATGAGCAAGGATCTCTGGGAAATGTGTCCATTGATATATTTCCAGGGCTTAGCACAGTGCCTGGCTCACGGGACAGCCCAATAACCCTTTGGTGACAGTATAACCTGACTGACAAAATACAGCTCAGTTGCCCCACTTAGTTGTGGGGTTCTCTGGTTTGGGTGTCAGAAGCAGCTGAAATATCACAATTAATCCCAGTTGTAGTCAAAGACTCTTAAGTGTGCAAATGATAAATAAGGATCACCCAAAGCCTTTTCCATTTACTAAGGACATAGCCAAAATGGAACTTTGAGCTATAGCCTATAGCCTTGTCTCCCCATAGTCTTTAAGGGAACAAACACCAGCATCTCTACAGGGAACAGTCAGAATGGACATTTGTGATCTGTCTGTCTTCGAGCCTACTTGCTCTCGGAGATCACGGAATTCCGAGTACCCATCAAGCATCACGTGGAAAATACGGCAGCTTCTCATCGTACCCACTTACCTCCTAAGTCATCTTTGTGGCTTTATGGGACACTTCTAGAAAGATTTCATAAATAAGGTATGCAAAATATGGAATTGCTATATGAATATTTTTACTTCCCATGAAGGACAAATAGCATTAAGACAATCACATCATTTTCTTTCTTTTTTTTTTGGTGGAACCAGGGATTGAACTCAGGCCCTTGCACTTGCCAGGGAAGTGCTTATTCCACTGAGCCATCTCCCCAGCCCCAATTTTCTAAAGATATGGTAAAGATCAACATACCTCTCCCAGAAGGTAGGCTCTGTCACTATGGGTACATTTCTACTGATGGAGAGGAAAGTGGAAGACTCCTAGTCCTTCTTCCTATCACTAGAATACTAACAATAGTTTTCATAGAGTCTCAGATGTAGGGGGAATTTTTCTGTAGAAGCCTTTTAGGTTCATGTGCATCACTGGTGAGCCAGCACAGAGCTAAGGCAATGGCCTAACACAGGACAGGGAAGCTTGACCAATAAAGATTCTGAATTATATTAGATATGGCATAAAAGAACAGAAGTATCTAGAGTGTTTTTTTATCTACCAATCATCAAATTCCTTTTTTTTCAAATGGAAGAATATAAATGTGGTCCTAAGCCAGACATGGAAAGAACCCTAAATTTTGGCCTTAAGACTTCCAGAGGTCATGGTCCTTCCTGACTGGTGACTTCACGGTGCACATAAACATGGTGTGCTGGATGCCTGCTCCTCCTTTATCACAAGACAGTGTGCTCCACCAAGTGCCCATCTTACTTGTTTGGATGCAGAAAAAACAGTAGAAGTCCCATCTGATCTACTTGCAAAGGCTACTGAATGTGACCATTTTTGCCACTTTTACAGATGGCCTTTCCTCAAGGGATTTTAATACTACTTTTGAGTTTCTGTAGTCAATTTCCCTTGGTAAAATAGTCTATGGAAATCTTTCACCATAATCGCAGTGGGACCCTGTAATAAGAAATTCCAAGCTGGGAAGTTACATTTAGAGAAAGCATCTGTTTACCCTGATGTTTGCCTTAGGTTCTTTGATTCCACCTCAAAGAACTCCTGATCTAGATGCAGTATTTTTCAAGATTGGATGTATATGTGGCTTATGCGATGTGCTTAAAAAAATGCATGTAGTGCATATCATGGACAAATTTGGTAGGTATTTCTGAGGTTATCATATAAGTAAAGGTACCACACTCACACACATATATGCACACACATAAGTATGCATGAACACATGTATTAAAATTTGTCTTTGCACTGTCTCACTAGACAGCTTTGCTATAATTGTGTGAGGATGCAACACTTAGGGGCATGGCAACAATTTTGGATCCCAGAGAGGATTTCTGATAATACTGAATTTGTGTCCTAAAACCATATACTGTATAGTTGCAGAGTACTCAACCCCAGTAACGTCTTTGATGAAGGCTCCATGTACCCAATGTGCTGACTAAAGTGAAACACATTTGCAGCATACCCCTAAAGCCCTTTAAAGACTCCCTGTTGGTCTTCAGATGAATTGCAACTCTTTAACACAGCTGATAAAGTCCAGCCTATGGTCCCACTATCACCACCTGTTCCATCCTAGGCTTCATTAGTTGCCCTTGTAGCATATCCTGCCTTCTTCATACACCTGTCTTCTCTACAAAGCTCTCCATTCTACTTCCAAGATCCTACTGATGCCTACCCACATTTCAGGATAGCATCTTAGTCTTTTCTTCCCTGGAAGCCTTCTGCAGCATACCAGATTGAACAAGCTCTTCCTCCCCTATTCTCTACAATCATATGGTTTCTATTTATTACAGAGCTTAATGTATAGCTTTGGAATCATTCTATGCATTATTCACTTCTTCCTCTATACTGTACCCCCTCTGAAGGTTAGCAATGTGCCCGACTTGATTCTTATGTACCCCCACAAAGACATTTGCAACACAAACTTGTGGCACAATTAACTGAAAATGAAGTGCAGTTAGAAAATAATAAAGCTAACAGTCAATTGGATTATATGGGAGATCTAATAGGCATGTATGATTGTGAAATAAGTCAAAGAGCTCTGCTTTTCACCATATACCACAAATGCCAGAGGGATAGATGGGGAGATGTCTATCTTGTCATGCACACTTAAGCCCAGGCTACATGGAGGATATCACAAACTACCTGATAGTTTTGATCATGCTGAGCCCCATTTCAACGCAGCAGTGAGCATGGTCCTGCCGGGGCTCCGGAAGTCCAGAAACACAGTAGTAGCAGTCTCCCAGGATTTTAATTCGAAGGCAATGATGCTCCTGGAAGAAACACAGTGAAAAGAGAAGGATGAGCTCTTCAGAAAGGTTAGGGAAAGATCAAGTAGGGTCACGTGGTCAAGAGAACCCCCACTGTTTATTTCTACTACTGTTATGATCAGGATCTGAAACATCCTCCAATGCCTGATGTGTTTAAAGGTTTAATGCATAGCTTAGTCTTGGGAGGTGGAGAAAACTCTCAGAGTTAGGGCCAAGTGGGAGGCCTCCAGCCATTTGGCTGTGTGCCCTTGCAGGGCACAGTGGGACCCCTATAGCCTCCTTTTCCACTTTCCATCCCAGCTGCTATGAGGGGAGTGGCTTTCTTCACCACACACTCCCCGCCTTGATGTGCTGTTTTGCCCTGGGCCCTAAAGCGTCCGACACTGAGAGCCAAAATAGATCTCTTTTCTCAGTCTTGTGGCAGAACCTGACTCTGTAGCTCCACCTTTAAAACATTATTTATTTATTTATTTGGTACAGGGTCTCAACTATGTAGTTCTGACTTATAGTGATCCTCCTCTCTCAGCCTCCCCAGCACTGGGATTACAGGTGTGCAACAACACACAGGGTTCTGGTGGCTGGTATAGTGTTCCCCGGGGTTCCAGGGCCAGCGCTGTATGTGGTACCAGAGATTGAACCCAGGTCCTTGAGCTTGCCAAGCAGGTGCTTAGACCACAGAGCTATCTCCCCAGCCCTTTTAAATTTTTAAAAATATCTCTTATTTATTTATTTTCTGTAACTCCATTTGTGGGATATTTCCTTCAGAAAGCAGTATCTCTGCGTGGGAGAAGGAGTCAGTCATAAATGGCAAGGGGCCAACTGTGAAAATGGCCCAGTTGACTCTTTGAAGTGCCAAGCTATAAACCACCATGTCAATTTCTTAATCTCATTGGGAGTTTGAGTAACAAGTGGATAAAACCACCTCTGCAGTTAAAAAAAAAACAATTAAATATACACGGAATACATTAGAACCAGCTTTGGTACCTCTCTATCTGGATCACCTTACAGGAGTCTTGCCAGCCTTCACGCATGGGCTCAGATGCAATCTTCTGGACTCTGCCAGCAGGCACAGTCACCCTAGGATTAGTCTCAGGAGACTGGGGCTCTTGTCTACTGGCCACTTCAGGGAAGTGAGATTTTCAAGAGCGTTTCTGATGAGCTTCAATTAATAAAGAAAGCACAAAGCCTTCAATTGCTCTTCCCATGATCTCTAGAGTATTATGGCAGGATAAAATGTAGAGAGCTCCTTGTCCTGTGATCTGCCAGTGCCAAGATTTTGGAGTCCCTGGGATCATTTTAAGGAGAAAAATCAGGGAGCCTGAGGGACTGTCATATGGTATTTAAAATTGTTTTTTCCAAAGGACTATGAAGAAAATCTGTGAACAAATACCAAAAGCCATTATATAAATGCCATCTACTAGTCCCATCACTTTATAAAAGGGTCTTTACTAATGAAAAAAGTAGAATGACATATACTTAGAATAAACAAAATTCTTTACTTAAATAAATTTAATGTTATCAAATTTACCACATTCCCCCTATCATTTCTTAAATTGCATGCCAGTAAATTAAAAAATTCTCAACTGCTGTGTGGAAGGAAGTAGGAGAGCCAGTGTTGTACTTTTTTACTCTGAGGGTGGGTGGAAGGGGTTGGTGATGCTACCTGCAGATGGCCTTGTGGGAAGAGCCTGGTAGAAGTAACTCAAGCTGATGGAAGCCAGGGGCTGTGAAAGTCAGGGGCATAGCTTTGCCTCCCCGCTGACTATGAAGAGGCATCAGGAAAAAAATATTAGCAGAAAATTCTTTGGTCTAAAACTCAGAGATCTGTATTCTACTCAGATTTACCAGCTGTTTGACTTTCTGGGGTCCCTAAATCCTCTGATATGGGAGTTTCAAGCCTCACCGTGTGACAAATGCCAAAATGCTCCACCTTAGTCTTAGTGCAACAGACAAAATGTGGCTGTCACGTAGCAATGACAAGGACAGCTGGCACCCAGAAGTAGCCTTATCTTTCCTCTTTGGGCCTCACAAGAAAGCCTTGAACAATGCGGGACAAGTGGATATCTGCTGTTTTATGGCTGTAAAAATCCCAGAGTGAGAGATATAAGAACTTCCTGTGCCACAACTGGGTTGGTTCCAAGTTATCAGGACTGCACGTGGTGCATGACAACCCCACACTAGTAACTTTCCTAGGAAAACTGATTTGAAAACATTTTGGAAAAACCCAAGTGGGAAAAGAGACTACTGTTTACTAAACACATGCCACATCTCAGCCTGCTGTGATGTGCCTTACACTTACCTTCCTGTCTTCACAACCACCTTCTGCACCATGTTCCATGGTACAAGAGGGGAACCATAAACCTATGGAGGTGAAGCTTACAATGCAAGCCAAAGGCAAAATTGGAATTCCAATCAACACATTTCAATTTCATTCCCTACAAAACTGCAAGGATCATGGCAAAATTCAGAATGGCAGAGTGCCTCACAAAAACATGTAATTTGAAAGAATGTTGTGTAAAATGGTTTATCACCCATCTGCAGTAGGCACTGAAGAATGACATGAAGATGCCTATCTTATTATCAGTGAAAGGTAAAGCAAGTAGCCTCCTAGAGAATCTATGGGCTCCAAATAAATTGGGTCCATCCATCCGTCTACCATCTATCTATGCCTATGTCTACAGGTGCATGAATGTATATCATACATTTTGCATATCACATAAGATGTGTGTAGTACATCTTATGTTTCATACATATGACCACAGAGATGGAAATAGCCACATATTCATATATATGTGTATGTATTTATGACAAGACCTGGCTTCTTATCTGTCAATTTGCAGACCTATATTTTTCCCCCGCATCTTATGAGCTGTCAGATGACTTGACAGAATTTTCCGAGCAACTTTTTCTATCAGAAACTGCTTTGAAAAGTCCATGGTAAGGAAGCCAGGCTGCTTGGGGGAAGCTATGTTTAAAAAGAAGAGTAGAGTGTTGACCTTCTTGCAAACTTTATCAAGTTAGTTTTATTATAATCGTTTTCCTGCCACATTTGTGGCCTTCATATGTTCAAAAACTTGGAAATTTCTAAGGACTTTATTGATACACATATATAAATAATAGGTAAGATACTCTCCAATAAGCATCAAATTATTAAAGATGGTTATTTTTGACAGGTGTATAGAAGTTCAGGGATGCATGCTCTCTGTGTTATGCACATCTTTAGTGTTTGAATTTTATATACTGAACAAATATTTCTTTAGTAAGGAGAAAAATCAGTAAAAAAGTGTAAAGAGAAAGTACTCAAAACAAAAAAATTAATGTACATTAATGTACACACCATTAATGTGCTTATGTGTGTGTGTGTGTGAGAGTGTGTGTGTGTGTGTGTGTGTGTGTGTGTGTGTGTGCATGGTCTCACTACACAGTTTGGATTCATAGTGCTCCTCCTGATTTCTGCCTGTCTAGTACTGGGATTACAGGTGGGTACCACACCTGGACCCCATTGCTGACTCAGAGTGCCCAGAGGTGGGGCCAGTGTGGCATGTGGTGCCAGGAATCAAACCCTGGTCCCTGCACTTACCTAAGTAAGCGCTTAGTCCGCTGAGCTATATTGCTGGCCCTTAATATACTTTTAAAAAAGGAATTATGTTAAAACTCAGCAAATCTTATAGCATTTCTAATGTTTTAGTGTATTTAGTACAGTGTCTGCAGGGTCTCACCACACAGATCAGACTTGTAGTGATCCTTCTTGCTTTTTTAAAAAAATTAATTTTATTGAGAAATAAATAGCAATGAGATAGTTTCAATAATTAATACATTACATATTGCTGTCTTCATAGTGGTTATTCATAGTACAAGATGCAGACATGATATCCTGTCCAAACACTATTAGTACAAATCTTTCTTCTCATTGAATTAAGAGAAAGTAGCTATATATATAGCTGTATATCTATCCTAACTATGTTGTATATACAGATACAAAATGGTCCTTCATTTGTATCCCCTTCTTTTGTTTAATTTTGTCAGAGATGGGTATTCCATTGCCATCGAAATATTGTAGGTGCCTGAATTCAGCAAAATAATCCAATATAATCCAGTAGTCCATAATAGTAGTGGGTTATCCATGATCCTTCCTGTTTTTCAGCTTCCCAAGCGCTGGGATTACAGACATGCCCTACCACACCCAGTTCTTATTGGCCATCTGAGTGCGCCCAGGGAGATGGGCCAGCACAGCATGGTGGGAATCGAACGCTGGTTCCTGAGTCTGCCTAAGCAGGCACTTTAATCCGCTGAACTATCTGGCTGGCCCTAGTATTTCTAATTCTAATTGTACAAATGACACACGAATTGATAGTCCTGGTAGCATTTAAACTGCAGATAGGGTTAAAGGCCCTCTAGGCAACAATGCCTTGTCACACACAAACACCATGAAAGACTTTGGGCCTCCCCAGGGGCTGTGGGAATTCACACTCCCAAGTCACACACATGTACTGTCTTTCCTGCCCACTAGGTATAAATTTATCTTACCATGTTTATAGATCAGAAAGAGTTTTTCACGTAATACCATGAAATATTTCCATGCATAAACAGAAAAGCTTGTTAATCTGTCGCTCACCCGGTGTTTGCTCCATGTCAAAAATTGAGGTTGTTTCTAATTTTGGCAGAAATTTACGACTATGATATAATGATGCCAATAATATAAAAATTAATACATTATTTTTCTTAAGTTATTATTATTATTATTATTATTATTATTATTATTATTTTCTTTTGCTTTTTTGCAGAACTGGGGATTGAACTCAGGCCCTTGCACTTGCCAGGGAAGTGCTTATTCTACCAGGCCCCTGGTTATTATTTATGTAATGATTTGAATGGAGTTTGAATAGGGAGACTCCTTTACTAAAAAAGATAAATTAACCAGGGCTACTAGTTTTTCAAGGACATGAATGGGTCAAAAATGCCCCTTGCTGAGGAGTGTGAGCCATGGCACACTGAGGAATTCAGATGAACTAAGAAGAACTTTCATAGAAGACTTTGAAGTCATCCCTGCATTTTAATAATGCAGGGCATAAACGTTGCAGCAAGGTGGATTTTCTCCTGTCTCTCTGTAGTGGAAATCTATAGCAAAGTGTCCAGCCAGGGCAACTGTGGAGCATTCTAGAGCTACAGAAGTTTGGTGTTTTGCTTTGTTTTTAAATCAAGTCCAGTCTCCCTTTATGCCAAAGCAGAGCTTACAGTGTAGTTGATTAAGTGACTTGTATAAGATCAGGGACTGAAAGAGTGATGGTAGGCTTTCTCATTCTAAGGTGTTTTCACTTGCAGCATTTCTAAGACTTGTCCAAAGAAGGTCCCTTAGAGTACCGAGGTGTTTTGGATAGCAGTCTGGGCAAGCGAAAGCGGGTGCTCTGGGAGTAACTGTGAGTGAATGGATAGTGCGTCTTTATTTTCAGTTAGCTTGTGCTGAGATTCTTATTTAATTTCTCCTTCATTTCAATTCTGATAATGAGCCAGGAGGCGATGGCTCAGATTATCAGGGAAAGTAGGCAGAACCTGTTATAGAATTAAAAAAATCCCAGGACACATGCCTGGAACAGTGCCCAAGGCCCTGCACATGGAGTTTTATGAGACTTTGATCAGGTTTCTGCTATGATGGCTGAGACCTTACTCCAACCTCAGGAGTGGGAGACACAAAAGGGACAGTTGCCAAGGAGCTCTTGCCACTGCTTGTGCAGTCATCCACCCTTACGCTGCAGGGTTCACTTCTTTTCTTTCTTTTATTTGGCTGAAACTTTCTCTCCAAAGCCTGTCCTTATCCTACCTTTACTAAATATAAGGCCTTGCTCCAGTTAAAGTTTGTCCTGATCAATGCGTTTCTCAGGGCAGAACAAACCTAGAAGCCATGTCTAGAAGGACACTACAGCACCCCAATAAGAACAGCAAACAGAGACTTGGGGAGCTGGCACCCTCCAGGTACAAGCCTAGCCCATACTTCAGTCTTGCCCTGCAGGCTGGCATGCTTGTGCAGCAGCACATCTGGACTCCTAGGCTGCAGCACAGCTAAGGGTTAGGAGCAAGAACCTGTCCTCAGCTGATCTGGGTTGGTATCACGATGCACCCACTCATGGTTCTGAGCCAAGTTTTTATTTCTTTGCACACCAGTCATGTGTTCTGTAAAATGGGAGCAATTCAAAGCCTGCCTTGCAGGTTGCTGGCAGAACAAATGAGGCATTCCCAGGAAAGCATTCGGCACAGGGCGGCAATCCACCAGGTGGTTCACAAATGTTTCACGTTTTTATCAAAATCAACAGTAAGTGTGTTCCATCATTGTAACTATGCTTAATCTGATATTCATTTTTCTCTTATAAGTTTTTGACTCATACCTGAGAAGACAGCCTTTGGCCTCTTGTACCCACTAGGACTTAGCAGGCTGTGCACTCTTGTTTCCTCTCCCAGGACTGTTAGGAGCAGCAGGGTAAAGAGCTCAGTCTACAGATGAAAGCCTATATACCTCCGGATGCTGCACTCTCCCCTGCAAGATTTGCTCCTCTTTTCTTCTCCCTGCTCATGTCTCACTAGCATCTCCAGTGCCCTTTATGCTCTAGCAATTTTGAGCTTCTTATAGCTCCTCAAACAAGCAGCATTTTTCACACTTCCTTGCCTCTGTACGAAGCCTCAGCCTAAAAGGCATTTGTCTAATCTGCTGCCAGCAAGGCTTCTGTTGTACCCCAAGGCTCAGGCTGCACAGAGCTTCTTCTCTGAGGTCGCCAGGTCACTGTTCCACCCCTAGGCACAGATGGCCCCTTCCTTTGTCCATCAGACTATCTGTGCTTATGATGGTTTGCACCACGCTGCTGCAGATTTTGCAGACTTGTCTCTTTTCTGCTGGGAGACTAAGAGTTCCTGAGCACAGGATGGGCTTTGTTTTTCCAGATTCTGGTGGTGATCATCATACAATAAATATTCAAAACTGATGGTTGAATAACTTGGGTTAAATTGAGCTTGACTGATCCTTCACTGAAGGGGTTGCTTTTGCCTATCTTTGAGCAAACACATTCAGAACCATAATAAGAAGTAGAATACATATACACAAAACTATCACAAAACATACTAGATGCAATGCTGAAAGGGGCCGCTATTCATGCTTTTCCTGAAATGTCTGGTCTTTCAGGTAAACCACCCCTCCTGGAAGGAAGAGACCTCAGTTTTTCACCTCCTCTCTTTCTATGCCAGGCTCTTACCAAATACTGTCCAGGAGTTACAACTTGTATCTCAGGGTTCTTGGCCGGGACCTCATCTCTGTGCTTTGTATCTTGCTCTGCCTCCTCTCGCAATCTCTTAGTTTCTTCCCATATGCAGAATAAGTTTTTATTGTCTTGGTTGGCCCTCTGCACAAGATATCCTTCCCTAAATTCTTCACCTAGCTAATTAGCTAAGTGAATAGACTACATGAAATAATTTTTTTAATTTAAAAAAATATATATAAGCATTCAACCACAATAAGATGCTTGTCATGCTCCTTCCCAATAAATCCGCTGAGCCTCACAGTAGCACTCCTTACAACTGCTTGACTGTTTTCTGCTTTTCTAATGTTACCTCTAACAGAATGTGTTATAAATGGAGTCACAAAATATCTACCTTTGTATCTCGTGTCTTTTACTTTGCATATTGCATTTAACATGCACTGATGCTGCTGGTATCAGCAGATCATTCTTCTTTCTTGCTTTGAAATGGCATTCAATTGTATTTGTGTATCTCATTTTAAAGATACAGCTTAAGCATCACTTTCTCCAATAGGATCTCTCTGCCCCAAGAGACATGGCTGGCCTCGGTGTCTCCACATCACTCCAGCTCATCTTTGCTGTAGCACATGGAGCTCTGTGCACTGACTACCCACTGACAAGACCGAATTATAGGAGTGGAGGCGAGTTTCCATCACTGTCAAATCCCCAACATATAGCCCCGTAACAGAACCCCTAGCAGGTGCTGTTCACACAGGTATGAATGGCTCTCCCTCATTCTGGTATACTACACCCAGTAAACCTTTACTTCATACACTCTTAGTTTCTACCACATTTCTGTGTAAACCCAGAACCCACTGCATTTCTACTTGAGCCTGGTGCCCACTCTGTTACTTGAGTGCCTTCAGGACTACACAGTGTGTTTAGGTAGCAAACATCGAACTCCTTTTTTTATTGTTATGTATTTAGTACAGGCTCTACCAGATGTACAGGGTCTCACTATGTAGATCAGACTCCTAGTGCTTCTCCTGTTTTCAGCCTTCCAAATGCTGGGATTACAGGTGCGCACCACCGTGCCCAGTCTCATTCTGTCCCGGTGCGCCCCGCGGGCGAGGCTGGCATGGCAAGCCAGGGATGGAGCCCCGACCACCGCACTCTGCTTAAGCACACACTTTAGCCCACTGAGCTATCTGGCCGGCCCCATCCAATTCCTTTTGTCTGTTTTCCAGCTTAGCTCTGATCAAGCTAGCTGGAAAATGAAGGTGGTGGGTTTTTTGGGGTAAAATAGAGCTCTCAAGACAAATCAAACAAAAGGCTGGTGGCATGGGCCAGTAGATGCCTGCTTCTTAAGAACAGGAAAATCCACTGCAGATAGTGGCATCAGCTAGAAACTGCATGCAGCCACCCTTGTGTCGCCCGGCACCCAGGCTGCAGCTGGGTGGCAGCCGCTCACATGCAGGGGGTATTATAATGGAGGAGTAGAAAGCAGACAGAAGACTGGTTTGATCATCATTCATCCGGCTGTTTCTCAATTGGGAAAATTAGTCTGACAAACCTCCCATTCAAGACAGATAAATAACTAACATCAGTCCCCAGGATGAGCAGGTCATGGGTCCATGCCCACACACACGATGGACACAAAGCAGTAGAAAAGCACGGATGACGGAGGCTGAGTCCTCTCTTCAATAGCTCCACATGCAGTCCCTGCAAATGACTAGGAGGAAATTAAATTCAACTCACATGGGCTAGGCGATCAAATCTGGCAAAGAGCTCATTCAGCATCCTGACCAGTTCCTGAGCAGACAAGGTCGTAGAGAGGTTGGTAAATCCTTTAACGTCTGCAAAAAGAATACTAAACAGGGAAGAGGGGTGAAAGAAAGCATATTAATATTTTAATCCATCCTGGAGACACACCAACTTCATCCAAATAAATCAACTGTCTGTTGTCTGAGATTGTAGCTCTTCCTGCAAGGGAAGACAGGAGCAACATCTCAGTATTTAACAATTATGTTGTCAGGGACAATCCACCCTGGAGATCAGGGAGAACCAAGGGGCCACTGAAAGCCTTTCATTCTGTACAGGACAGCGGAACACAGCTAATGCAGAACACTTTGAAGGGAACTGGTCACTATGAATAGAACAATTTGTTGAGAAAAGCAACATGTCTATGATTTGTCTTCATATTTTCACAATGAACAGCAATGCAGATGTAGTGGACATTGCAAAAACAGATGCAGGGGATGGGAGGAGACTGAAGAAGTTCATCATGATGGAGCCTAATGACCAGTACTGCCCCATACAGGCAGGCAAATAAATTTAGGATTTTTTAAAAATGATGAAACAAGGCAAGCTGGGAAACTTCAGGCAGAATGATTGAGAACCTAAACAGGCATGTTTTGCAAGGATTGCAGTGAGGCAAGGTCTGAATCAATTCCTATGGTTTGTCAGAAGGGAAGCAGGAATTCTTTAATGTCTTCTAAAATCCTAGAGTCAGCCACATACGATGGTGCACTCCTGTAATCCCAGCACTCCAGGATGCTGAGACAGGAGGATTGCAAATTGAATTCATATCTGGGAAATTTAGGGTGATCCTACCTCAAAAAAATGAAATGGAATTGGTAGGTAGTTCAGTGTGATAGCCCTAAATTCAATCCTTAGAATAATGGAACAAAACAAAACAAAAAGTATAAGAAATTAAAAAGGAGAAGAAAAAAAAAATCCAGCTCCTTTCAGTAGCCTGTATCTGGTAATCTAAATTAATTTGAGGCAACGTCGTGTAATAAAACAACCATTGTCAAATTCCTATCATTTTGTTCAATGAAATTCTGCGTTGTTTCTAATTGTTTTGTATTCTCTTTAAAAACAAAAAGATTAAACAAAGCAAAACAAAACACTTGGCAATTTCGGATGAGCATGACTCTGTCCATCGGGGCAAGGATAATCTGTCTATTCTGGAGCTGAGGAAACTGAGCCTCAAAGAGGCAAGGAGATTTGCCCCCCACCCTACTGGTGACATGTGGCAGACTGGGCACTGTCCAGTGTAGGAGGCTGCTCCCTTCGCCTTACTGAGCCATCTCAGAAACCTCTGAAAGGAAGGCTGGAACAACCGAAAGGATGTATGGCTTGTCACTTCCATGTTGCACCCTCCCTGAATCTTTAAAGGTTTGCTTTATGCCCTCGTGCTTTGTACATGCTACTCCTGCCCTGTAGTACAGCTTTATTTTTGCTACCTGCTTTTCAAGGTCTCCCTCACACACCAAGACTACTTTTATGGCGATTCCCCCAAATACAGCTGTCACCCCCACCTGTAGCCCCTTGCCTGGGCCTGAGCCCTTCTCTGTCAAGGCACTTAGCAGCAGCAGCACAGTCATAAGTGGCTAAGTGAGCTCCATCTATTAGCTAAGGAAGAAGAAAAGAGTGGTTAGTAGAGCCCACCTGCCCAGCACACAGCTGCCCTCACTGCCTGTCCTGAATTCATTCAACGGAAACACTCAGACTTGCGCCCTCTTCCCTCTAGGCCTGGCCTCTGGGTATGGTGAGTACACAGACTCTCAAGTCCCTCGCTAGAGCCAGCACATCACACCTGCTTCAGCACGGGTCCTGAGTGTGCACACTTAGGAGTTAGAAGCACAAATTTGAGAAACAGCGACGACGCTGTGACGCTTAGGTGACCCAAAGAGCAGTGACAGAACCCAATGCTGACCCTGCTCCCCCAGGGCTCAAGGTCAGTCTCTCTCTTGACTTTTGGCACACCCCAAAAGTCAGCCTGCCTACAGGGAGAGGGCACGCCCTTTGCTGACAGGAGCAATGAATTCTAAGAGGCATAATTAAGACCTAGAAGTGTACAGGGAAATGCTTTACAGGGAAGGGTCATCAAGTAAACAAACACACCAGCTAAAAAAAGCAGTGGAGGAGAAAGAATGCAGGGGGCGGTTTGCCATGAGGGGGATGACAGGCTTGGAAACAATTTTTCAATACTCCAAACACAGCAGCGGGTTCACTTTGGGGGCTGGAGAGGGGGCGGAGCAGCCGGTCTAGCTTTGTTTTCAGACGCCAGTGCCGCTTCTATATCCTCCTCAACAGAGTGGGACTTTTTTTTTTTTTTTTTTTTTTTTTTCTAGTTTGTGGTCTTATTTTAGCACTCCTTAGCCTCTCTGTGGCAGGAGAGGCCCCTCCAGCCCTGATGAAGTTTGCCTTCATCTTCCCAGCATCAGGAACCCCACAGTCCTGGGCACTGTGCCACTGTTACTCTGAGGCAGGGGACCTCGGGTGGGCGAGGGGGCTCTGCGCTGGTTCTTCTTCCCCAAGAACCTTGGTCAGTGCTTAGAGCATTGACAATAGGCAGGCAACTAGACTTTTATTTATTTATTTTTACTTTTTAATGAGAAGAATGTATTTAGTGGGAGAAAGAAAGCTCCTATCCCAGAGAGGGACAGAAGGAGAGGTCCCCGAGCGGGTGGTCCCCGGGAAGCTGTCTCTTCCAGGGACTTTTATGGAGTAAAACCATGCCCGTGAGGAGGGTCTAAGGTGGAGAAAACATGGGAACTCTCTTATGTGGGCATGAGGTGGGACAAAACTATGGTCAACCAATGATATTACAAGTGCCATTGCTTGGGTAAAATTGATTAAATAGGAATCAAACGGGGAAGCGAGTTACAGTAGGGAATGAGAAAGGTGACTTTGCAACTTTGGAAGAGACAGACACTCCTTGCTGTGGGCCAGCCCTCAAGACAAAAGAGTAAACAAATGTAGCCACATACTTCCTTAGGAAGGGGCATCAGGGACTGATTTTCTAAATAAGTATCAATCACCTTAAAAGAGCCCAAATGAGTCACCAACCCAGCCTCCAACAGGAAGAGACCCTGTTCCATATTCAACTAGACTTTTAATTTAGAGTGGTGTGAACTTCTGGAAAAGGGTCTTGATAGAATACACGAGCATGGCTGGAGGGGGCAGAGGTACCTGGACTTGCCCTGGACGATCAGATTAGTAAAGGTGATCAGAAGAGAAAACCAAGTAGGTCTTTTTTTTGAACTTGAGACTCCCCAGTGTAATGGTGTGGGTGTGCAGGCTTGTTTATATTACTTGCATATTTTTTTAAAAGTAGTTATTTTTTCCTCTCTCTCCATGGTGACAGGCACTGTCACATGTCGTATATTATTGTATTTATATATACTTATATAACTCATGTGCATTTATATAGAATCCATTTATCTATTTTCTGACAAAAGGTCCATCCAACTTCTGCTCTTTCTGGACCTGCCTGATCTCATTAAGCAACACTGCCACCAGAGAAGCAGATGGAAACTACCCTGAGTGCCCTGACTGCCCCACCCGTGCTGATTCCTTTGTACAGAATTCATGTCTGTATCTTTTTCACATGGCTGGCCGTGTCTCAGATGAGGTGAATGTGCATCATGTCTTCCAGGAAGGCTTCTCTACACATATGCCTCCCCCTTCTCTATACATACGCTTGCCCCAACGTGGCCTCTTCTCACGTTCAATTATCAATCTTTGTCTATTAATACTAGAATTCCGCTTTGCTGACTTAATAATGGAACTCCACACTGTGTTGATTAATGGGTACTACTATTCTGGAATTAGATAAGTGAGCTCCTATTTTTGGTGGCTCTGGTTCCTGGCTCTGGAGTGCACCTCTTACCAGTTACCTTTTGACCAAAGACTGCTTGGCAAACTCAAGCATCCAAATCAGGGTGCAGCTGCATCTGCTGAAAGGTGTCAAAATCATGACTGCTGGGCATTCCTGAATGTAACATATGTAGAGATGCCAATAAGAGTTAGCTTTCCCCCCTACCAAAGATGGGAAGAAAGGAAAGAAGGGATTAAGTTGGTCATTTTTTAGAGTTGTTCAATGCGTGTATTTTTATCCAATATTTGGTAAATTTTTACCTTATAATGTTTTTTTTTTGGGAGAGAAATACAATTTTAGTATATGTGCTGCCGAAGTGAGCACTGGGAGAGAAATACAGTTGTACAGTATAAGCAGAAAATTTCAGATCCTTGTTCTATGGGTAGCCCAAGAAAATGACAGGAACCAGCCAATCAGAGACTTCTGCCCCAGATTTCAACATGAGTGGGGGTCAGGCCAAGTGAGCAACATGCGGTTTCTGTAGGAACAACTGCCATTGGGGAGCACTTTGGCAAGGAATAAGGGTGGGTAACACAAGCAATGAATTGCTGAGTCTCAGCGGCTTCAGCTATTGGGGGAGAGGGAGTTCTGCAGCTTGTTGGCTTCTTTACAGCCCATTTCTCCAGCCTGCTTTTCTATCCTTCCCAAGTTATTCCTTGAGCTATCCCACAGCCTATCAGTGTATTTCTTTTAGGTTTATTTTTGGAAATGCAGAACTCTCTGATGAATAATTGCTTCTTAATGAATTAATCAGCCCAGCGAGGAAAGGCCCTGACGTTCAGGCAGGCAGGAGTGACAGCAGTGTGATGAGAGCCCCTGGGCACACGTGAATCATGCAGAGCACCATGGCAGCCTTCCCCACCTGACGTTCTCGTAACGATGGATGTAGATGCGATGGAACTGGTGCTGCAGGTGCTCATCTTCCACGTTGGTCATGTCATTGATCATTTCCAGGACAACAAACCGGGGGAGCACAGACAGAACGAGCCGTTCCTAGAGGCAATGAAGAGAGACAGGCTTGTTAGGCCAATCAGTGAGCCTCTGGGGGTTGGTGACGTGTATGGAAGACTTGGAACCTTTAGATGAACTTGCTGGGGAGGAGCTAGCTTCATTCCATTCTAGGAACATGACAAATATCTGTGGAGTACTTACCATTTGTCAAGCATTGGTTTGGTGTTGGGTCTACTATGGAGAATTCTATGAATGACGCTCTTACTGTTATGGAACTTACATTCTAATGAGGGAAACAGACAGTGAGCGTTATTTAGCAGACATACTCCTACATATTGCTGAAAGGTAACAAGCACCGTGCAAGATCAAAGCATGATAAAAGAGTACAATAGTTTATGGCATGATTCAAATCAAGAATTCGGAACAATCTTTTCTTGCAATTGATGTTTACATTGAGATGTGAAAATTGATAATGAAGCAGCATTGTGATAAGACAAGGAAAAGTCCAAGAAAGGGAATAGCCAGTGTGAATGGCCTGAGGCAGAAAAGAGCAACAGTGTGCCTGGAGGGCAGCAGTAGGAGTGTGGTGACAAGAGGTAAGGATGGGGGTGTAGTTGGAGCTCATAGCATGCAATGTTTTTGCATTTGATTTCAATAATAACTGGGAGCCATTAGGTGGTAGCAAGCAGAAGAACAATGGTCAAGAACTGACCTATATTTTAAAAGTTTTCTGCAACTGTGCTTTAGAGAATGAAATATATATATATATATATATATATATATATATATATATATATCCCCAAAGTCTCCTGTGTTTAGCAGTGAAGATTTGGCAGATGATTCCATCATATGAGTGCTGTATTCATGGATGGTTGGATCCACTGATCAGTACAGAGCTGAATGTGCTACTGTAGGGAAGCCCTGGGTAGATAGCAGTCATGAGGAGCCTGGCCTGGAAGGGTGTACTATCTCAGGTGCCTTCCTCCTCTGTGCTCTATGGCTGCCATGGTGGGGCAGCTTTCCCCTGCCATGCCCTTCTGCCATGCTGCCTCTTCCTTGGTGCCTGCCAACCACTGACTGAAGTCTGAAAGCCATAAGCCAAACCATACTCCTGTATACGGTGGGCATCAGATATTTTGCCCTGGTGACAGGAAAGCTGATTAGCACATGGGCCAGGGGGAGGCAGAGGCCAGCTGATAAATTTCTGCAGTGACTCTTGCTGGGATGTGGTGCGGAGAAGACCATGCTATTGGTGACCCACGGAGGTGGCAGGAGGGATGGAGAGTAGGGCCCCTGTGGCTGGGTTCTGAGTGTGGCTGATAGGGAGTGGTGTGATGGTTACAGAGCTGGGGAACATGCGGGAGACCTTGAGCTTGTGAGCTGTTCACTCTTGTCAGTGATGAAAGGAAGTGAGAAATGCAGAACTGGGAAGTGGGGACCTCACACACGACAGGTTATTAATCTTTCTATTGTGATCACTGCTGTATGTAGAAGGAAAGGAGTTGGTTAACTGGCTGCGGAAACTAAAGCTTAGGAAGTCCTTGTGTTATGGAAACCAAGCAAGAGGCTGGCCTCTGGCAAGTGATTTACTACAGGGCTGAATAGAGTTTGAGACAGGTGGTTTCAGTTGCTTGGATCTTCACAGCTATGTGTGGATCTTGGGTATCAGCATCAGCCATCGTCTCATGCGTTTCTAACCGAACTCAGAAGATCAGCACAAGATAGCACAACTTAAAGACCAGCTGAGTCTGGAAGACAGGAAGTGAGCTGCACAGTCTGCGCACCAGGGTACAGTCCTTTATCGTACTGTTCCTCGCTGGGATTTCTGGTAGGATTTGAAAAGCCTTGGAGTTTGAGTCCGGTAAGCATCTGGTTTCTGTCTCTATCACTTAGCAGGAATACAGCATCACCCCTCTGTGCCTTGGTTCCCCACTTTGGTAGAGAGCAATGACATTGTACATTTAACGAGGTTGCTGTGGCAATTCGATTCAACAAGATATGTGAGAGACTCGGCATTATTCCCTCCTCCCTCCGTTGTTCTCTACTTAATCTTGCTGTCATGCAAAGGGCTTTACTAATGAAGGGCTCACTGAGGGTCACAATGATGATACTGTTTCCTCTCTGGAAAGCTCTCCTGTCATGGACCTGAGAAGTGTGCTTTGTGTAAATGCCGCTACATCATGTCCCTTTCGTGGTCATAGTGCTGTTCTTCAGTTTCCTAGGTACTTATTGTGGCCCTGTTCATACCATCGCTGCTGGGGCATGGATGCTTGACCACTGTGGGAGAGGTTTAATTCAGACACCAGCACTTTGGGCTGTCTCAGAGAACCAGGCAATGGAGCTGGAATAGAGGGTTCGTGCACACCATGGGCCTTGGGGCCAGTTTGCAAGTCTTTAATAACAAATTAAGGTTTTACTAGTGCTTCATGAGGGATGATTTCTATGAACTGGAGTGACAGAAAAAGGAAGCCAGTGATATGGAGAATTAAAAAGTGGTTGCATTAGTCAGTTTTCCTGCTTTGGAAACATAATACGGTACCCAACACACATAAATCCAGGGGAAGTGATCAGAGTCTTAAAAATCTCCTGAGGGATTTGCATATCAGAGTGGATCAAGAACTGCTGGCTTCTCCTCTGTCAGGTGCTACGAGGTATGCGATGATACTCAAACCTCACTGTACTTCTTCAAAGGAGGTATTTGCAGAAAAGACTGAATTCATGGTTTAGTATACCAATTACCTAGGTTGTAAATAACAAAGGATTCAATCCAAATTCCCTAAATGGAGTTCTTTCTGCTATACCAGCTCTATATCCTACAAATCCTAATTCTAACCCCAGTCATTTGGTCCACAAGGCTCTTTAAGAATGTCTAAATTAAGGTAGCAGGTTATGATATTCTTATGATATGATTGTAAGTATCCAAAGAGGCCTCAGAGAAACAAAATGTTCTATTCTGTCAGGGAGGTGGAGAAGTTCCTGAATGAGGATACTTAAAAAATGGGTGAGATGTCAAACATCTCTTTATTAATTACCATATTCATTTATTTATTCAACTAATAAATATTTATTGAGAATTTCCTGTACATCATCTCAGCTCTAGGTATAGGAGAAATATAAAGAGAAGGATAGGCAAGATCTTAGAGGGAAGTTGTATAGGTAGAGGTCAAGAAGCCCCATGGATGGTATGACTGGATATTCATCCTCAGGGACCACTATTTATATGGCTTTTAGTTTACTTGTGACAGACAAGGCAGCAATTTGGCGGGCATTACAAATAGCCTACTTTAGTTACCATAATTCTAAAGTGGTGCTATCTAGTTGTAGATTAATAAATGAGAAAACTAAAGGTCAGATAAGTAAAGTGACTTCCCAAGATATACAGCAAAAAAGGGCCAGATTTTTTTCTTTGTTGTTGTTGTTGTTCTAATGTATTTAGTGCAGGGTCTACAGGGTCTCACTACACAGATGGGACTCATAGCGATTCTCCTGTTTTCAGCCTCCCAAGTGCTGGGATCACAGGTGCACCACCAAGCCCAGTCTCAATTGCTGTCTCAGTGTGCCCCAGGGGTGGGGTTTCCAAGGCATGCTGGGGATCAGACCCCTGTCCCTGCATCTGCCTAAGCAGGTGCTTTAGTCCACTGAGTTATCTGGCTGGCCATAAGAGGGCCAGATTTCTGGTCTGTCAGACTCCAGAACTTCCTGGACGCTTCCTCTCCTCTTCCCAGAGAAATCCATTTCTGCAAAAACCATTCAAAGACTAATTCTCCAAAATGGAGAATCTAATTACCATTGAAAGTAGAAAAGCATGAAAATGTCTATAGTTAAACAAAACATCCACGTGGTACTTAACGATAACTTAGTTGAATTCTTAATGTGAACAAGTAAAAATCAAACAGAATAGTACAGGAAATCAATGTAAATATGAAGTGATGCCAGAATTTTTGTGGACATGTATTCTGCAAACTAAAAGAATTTTTTTGTGTGTGAGAAATTAAGGATTTTGCAAAGATGTCCCTGTGGCAAGTCTGTTTTTATGAAACTCAGCTGCTGCTGAGATATAGGGACCCTGCATTGGATTTCTTGATGTGAAGGAATGTCTCAGAAGCAAGTTATTAAAAACAGTTTGTCTCACAACACAAAAAATGGTGCAGATTGGTGAGGAAAGAAGTCCATACTATATTGCCAAGGATAGAGTGCATGTATGACCAGGTTCGCGTGCCGCAGCACAACGTGTGTCTAGTTTTGGGTCTACAAGGCATGACCAGAGTGTTAGCAATTGCAACGTCTTGGGTTGCTCATTTCCTGATACATGTGCTTTTTGATCAATATGGCTCCATAGGTTCCACTTTTGTTTTTTACAATAAGCACATATTTTCACCCAGAACCAATGAAACAATCTTGTCATTAAAAAAAGCATATTTTGTTTAAAATTAAACCATGAAGCAAGGCAGTGGTGTCTTATGATGAGGCAGGGAAGTGCTGCTTTTCTCTTTGGCTCACTTTTGCTTTCTTCCCCTGCTCCCAATTGCTGAAGGATCCTGGACAATTTTGTCCATCCCACGTCCTGTGTGCGGAGCGGGCCATGGAATATTTGTTAAGTTGAAACAAGTGCATATTTCTATACTATATGCTACTGGGAATTCTCCCTCGAATGTCCTTTCTCCCTTGCTATTTCTTCTAATGAGCACACAGACTACGACTGTTCTCCACAATTTAGGGCAAGTCTCCTTTGGTGAGAAGGATTAGTCATTCCCTCTGATATTGTATTCCTTTGTGTGATTTCTCTCACAGCAATTATTATACCACATGGTGCTCGTCTGTTGATGTGCCAGTTGGTAAACTAGGCTCTTTATCTTTTTATATCCAATGCTCAAACATAACGCCTTACATAAAGAGACTTCAGTACATGTACAAGTAATGAATGAACAAGCCCCTGGTCTGACCAGAAATGCTGGAATTGATCAAGTGAACTTGTAAGGAACCACTAACCTCAAACAATTACGCACTGGTACCCTACAGGGTTCTGAATCTCAGCAAATTTT